AACAGATAATTGTAGAGACAAGATAAAAAGTCTGATTAAAACTTTTGTAATTTGCCAACTTCAGAATCTTCCATGCCGACAATATTTTCATTATTTTCTCTTAATTACTTTTTCTTTTATGTTGTCTATCAAAAAGGAAGAAAAGCAGAAGAAAAATCCCTGACATTTTCAAGCAATTTATCTATTACATTTGAAATTTATTTTGTATATGTCATTGGCGTTATAAGTTTTTTTTCCATATATTCAATTATTTCATACAGGAGTTTTTTAATCAACATTAACACATTTCGTTCGTAAAACGATTGTAAAGAATTGAAAAAAAGAAAAGAAATTATAATTGAATCATCTAACAAATAAATTTATGTTTCTACGTCTATAGTTATATGAGTTTATCATAATAATGATGTTTTATGAAGATAAACATATGTATATACATGCCTGAAAAGGCAGTATTAGTAAAAACTCTATATCAAGAATTAAATACATGTGTCACAATAATCATAAGTTTGAGTAACAGATGAAGGAGAACATTGTCATATTATAGCCTTGAAAAAGACAGTACAAATAACAGGATAGCTTATCATTAACTTTTCCTCGGAGAAAATCTTGAATATCACTGTCAGACTTTGATTAAATGAATTATTTTTTTTTTGTTACTGATAATAATCATAAGAAAAAAAAATACTGTCTTGAAATATGGACATTTGATATGTACATGTACAATCACTGATTTCAATGAGTTTTGATAAAACAATAAATTTATCTTTCTGATCATAAAGAAATACTATTCAATATTTTCAATTAATGCATCAGAAAATCATCACTTGATCTTAAATTTCTACCATAGATCTCTGTTTTTATTAATTAATGTAGCCAGAAAGTTTTATTCATAGGCAACTGAAACTATGACGTAAATTATTTATTAAATATTGTTGGTTCTTTTTTGTAACTCGCCCAAGATCAAAGGCTTATGGTCATGTCAAAACTAATACTTCAAAACAATCTTATTCATTGTTTTTCTTATGAATATAAACGGTAAACATTTCTCTATTGACAATGAACAAATCCTATCAGCTGTTCAAAACATAACGGAAACACTTAAGTATTTTTCTCGGTAAAATTAATTTTGAAACAGGATGAAAATTTTAAGTAAGATATTATTAATAGTGTAGAAGAAATAGATGATTTTCAATCGAACTTCTTGAATAAATATTATAATCAACAACATAATCAAATAAACAATTTAATCGTAAGGTAAATACATATCAATATTTAGTCTTTTTTTTCTCTATTCCGAAAGAAAGAATCGACTTCTAATCGTCTTATTTTATAAGATTATATGCTTGAAAAATAGCGTGCATAAATTGAGATGCAAGTGAGTTAACACATGCTAAGAGATGTGTGCAGCAGTACAAAGAAGAAAATGATGTCTTTTCAACGACGTCAAGGCAAATCTTTGAATTATAAGGCTTTGTATTTTTTTCTCCTTCATTGCTTATATAATTATGCATAAGAAACAACTGCGTGATAAACGGTGGAGGAAAAGGCTTGAGGCAAAAAGAAAAGTAAAATTAGATACAGATTATATGCAATCTTAATATTTAAGTCAACATTAAAATATAGCACATAATGAGATACGATATGTATTGATGAAGAAACGTAATAAATATTTGTAAAAACGTATAACTGGCTATACATTGATTCCCCTCCCTCCAAAAACATCAATCAAATATCAATTGTATTAAGATATTTGAATTGATAATGACGAAGAATGCAAGTAGTTTATTATAAAAATTTCAGATCTTTTCATTGCTTCTATCCTAAGATACGACTATGATAAGAGCATGTTTTTCATGTCGCTTATATCAACGGTAAGTTCCGATATTCTTATTTCAGAAGCTGCACAATCAAAAAAATCTGAAACTTTCACAATGAACTATTCTCATTAAGATCTGCCTGTGTGCAAAGCTTCCGGTTGAAATTCGGAATTCAGTTTTCTTGATGTTCCTGAGGAATACCATGACATTCTGCTAAAAAATACGATGAAAATACAATATATCGATAGTATTAAATTATTAGCCCGAACTGATTTCAAGATATTCATAATTCATTAAATCCTACATGATGTACATAGTCTAGACTCAAAAAAAAAAATTTGACACTTAGAAACGTTGCCTCGTCATGGATAATATTTCCAAATTAATTAATAATGACATCATAGCTTTCATACATTGATACTCAAATGTTTTGCTTGAAAATGATGCATATTTAAAATTTATATATTCAAAAAATTAATGCATCAATATTGAAAATAAAACCATTCTATATTTGACTTCTAAGGGTATCAATATCTGTATTTAGATTTCACAACTAAACTACAGATAAATATTATAATTTGAGTATTCAACAAATAGATCAATTTCACAAATTCGAAATTATGATTGATAAAATCAAAGAATGTCTAATTAAAATTCACTGAAATAAAAATTGTATTTATTCTTGAATCGAACTAAATGATTTGTATCATTATAATGATAAATATTTTTATTTTATTCGAACATAACATAAGAAAACATGAAATATATTTTGAATAACATCGAAACAATAAGAAAAAAACAAAACAAGATTTTTATTTCGTTTTTTTTCTTTTTAAGCAACACTAAGCAAGCCTAAATCAACGAGTCGTTGAATTTTAATACGCATTGATATATCAGCCGTACGCATCATCCTATATGAACAGAAAAAAAAAACCATAATTTTCTATTTAAAAAATAAATATACTTCATACCGTTGTGCTTTATCAGGTTCTTCACGTAACATTTTCATAAGTTGAACAACATCTGGATCAAGTAATAATTGTCGAACTTGTTCATCTTGTAAAAGTTTATTAACTTCTGGATCAACATTTGTTTTTTTTTGTTTTTCTTCTTTATCTACTATTGAAGTAAAATGAGTACCTAATTAAGAAAGAAAATAAATATGATAGATTTTATTATTATTATTATTATTATTTTAAGAATAGTTGTTTTACCAAGTATTTTAGCCATTCGATCAAAAAATTTCATAACTTCAGCATTATGTCCATATTTTGCAAGTGCTTCTTGAGGTTTATGTTGAAATAAAGTAATAGCTTCCATAAAATATGGATTAGAAAAATATTGAGATAATGATTCATCATCTTCAATTTGTTTTAAAAGATCATTTGTTAACCAACTATCTAGAATTTATTTTATTGTTTGATTATAAATAAAATAGAAAGCAAAAAAAAAAACGATTTCAAACTTTTTGATTGTTGTTCTTCTTTAATAACTTGTTGAACTTCATCAAATATACGAAAATCTTTTGTTTGTTCAGATTTTTTTGATGATATTTCAATTAATTCATTCGATTTTGATGTTGATTTTGATGTTGAACTACTATTTAAAAAGCCTTTTTTCATACCAGCAAAACTTTTCTCTGGTACAGTTTTTTCTATAACAATAAAACATTTTAAAACAAAAAAAAAATTAGTTTCATCATAAAATACCTTTCGGTTGTGTTTCGACATGTTTCACAACCGGAGTTGATACTTGTTTTGTTGCTGTTCTATTTATTGGAATATCTTCCAATGGTGGGATATCTAATTAAACCAAAACACAAAAAGAGTAAGAAGAACAAACTGCAATGCTTCGATTCTATAAATTTTTCTTTTACCATCTGCGTCAAACATAGTTTATTATAAATCTAAAAAAAACCATAATGGAATCAAATAGCAACAAATGATTCCATTTAAAATTCATCCAAAAAAAAATTCAATTTGTAACTTCTTTTTTTTTTTTTGTTCGACAAACAATTTTTACTAGCATAAGTAGAATGGCAACAGCAATAAACACAGTAACAAAAACAGCATCAGTTGTAAAAACTACAAAAGGTAGTGAAAAAAAATGGTCGGAAATTTTATCAATGAATCGTCGTCATGATTTGCAATTACCAATCGATATAGCTAAATATGATCATGACTTAAGACGTACATATAATTCACATCAACGTCAAAAATATCAAACCGAACGTATATGGGCTAATAAACATGAAACATGGTATCATGATGATTTTTTATTTCGTACTCGTTTACTTAAACAATTAAAACCAATAACAAGACGTTTTAAACATATTGATTCATTATCATCAGACGATAATCAAGATCAACAACAAAAACAACAACAAGATCACATATTAAGTGAAGATGAAATGGAATTTTTATCATCACCAGCATCAATAATGGACAGAAGAGAAAATCCTAATAAAGTATTACCACCAATAAAACAAAATAAGAAACGTTCAACTATTCGACATTTTCAAAATTATGCTGGTGAAGAAACTGCTCCATCAAATTCTGTTTTATCAAAATTAATTTGTCCAAAAGTATTAAATGAATATGAACCAAGACTTTATTCTCATGGTCATGCATCATTTTTAGATGTAGCACAACGTTTTCTTAAACATAAACCTGAATCAATTGAAAAACGTGTTGATCATAAAACTAAACAACAACAACAACAAAAACAATATTTCAAAGTTCTAATTGAAAATGAACAAGAACGAACAAGATTAGCTGCTATTAAATTTCAACAACAATTACAAGAAGATAAAAGTAAAGAAAATAATTATGATGATCTCGATGATGATAATGACAGTTTTTATACAAGACCTTTTTAAAAAATATTTCTTAAATAATAAAAAATAAAAACAAAGACATTTTTCTTTTTAAAATGATTTATTTCTTATATCGTTTTTAAAAACTACGCGCACAACATAGCAAGACAAGAAAAAAAAAAGAAGCAAAATTTATACAAAATTATTCGAATAAATAAAATTTTCCAATAAAACTAAACGTATTAATACGCAAAATAAACCAGAAAAACTACATGTCTACCAAATAAATTTTAAAACGGAAGAGAAAAACAAAAGAAGAAGAAGAAGAAGAAGAAAAAAACACTGTTTAATACAAGATATTGAATAAACTAATCAGTAACACGAATTAAACTATCATCGCTATTATGAATAATACAATCTAGATCTTTTTCACGCATACTTTTAAGACTGTTCATTAATACATCAAATGATGTACCTGCTAGAAGAGAACTACCTTTACCACTATCTATTAGATGATCATGACCATTATTAAATTCATTTGTTATATTGAATGTATTTAATGATGGTACGAATACTGGTGAACGACAACGTGAACTAATCGTATTTGAACCTCCAGATGATGAACCAATATATCGATTTTGTAATATTGAATTTACTTTCGATGTACGTGTAATATCACCTGTCAGATTATGAGTATCTTCTATAACATCACTATTAATGATAGATACATGATGAGATTTATTTGTTGATGAATCAGTATTAATATCATTGCCAGAATTCGATAATACTTGTGATGCACCTATAAATATGAACAAAAATTTACTAGTCCAAAGAAAATTTTATAACTAAGTTTTTTTTAACAAATGATGTGAAAGTAATGTTACAAAAAGTCAATCATTATTTCTCTTTCATGAAAAAATGCTGAAAGAAAACTTTTTTTATGCATACATAGAGTTTTTTCTCTTCCAAATCCTGTATAATTTGTTTTTATTATATATTCATCAACGAAACGACATAACAGAAAAGTGAAGTACGTTTTGAAGAAAACGGCTGCATTTTTCGAGAGATTTAGAAAAATGACACAAAATATTGAAGATTATATATCTATTTGGTAAATATATTTCGAAATGAACATTTTTTTTCATTGGTTAATAAGAAATTTTCTTCCATTTTGGATAGTGTATGATTTATGTTAGTCATTAATTGGCAAATGAAACTAGAAAAAATTATGAATTCATCAAAAGATCTTTTAAAATGGTGGTTACTTCGACTTTTATGAATTCGTTAAGAACATCTTCTAAAACGATAGTTAATGATCATTAACTGTCGCCTAAAAAAGATGCTTTTAACGAATTCGTATAAAAAAATTTCTTGTACGAGTTTTCTCTTCTCGTTTTATGTTATATACAAATAAATGGCTAGTATAAGTCACATATTGTTTACAACAGAAGAAAATTTCCTATTGACTAGGAAGAAAATATTCATTCAGAATGTGTTTCTCGAAGAGATATAGAGATCAATATTTTGTACCATTTATCTGAATCTCACGAAAAATGAGGATTTTCTTTTTAAAGGATACTTCAATTTTCTGTTGCATTATTTTATTAACAAACGTTTTATAAAAATAAATTATAGACAATGCGAAAGAGGAGAAAAAACTCAGTCTTTTCGTAAAAAAAAAGGTTTCTTTCAGCATCCTTCTATGAATGAGAAATAAGAATCGTCTTTATATGTCATTAATTTTACATCGTATGTTGTTTTGAAACTGTATAAATTGAAGAAGTCAAAATAAAAGCTTAATATTAGTATAATTGTATGCAGCCAAACTAAACTTATAGAATCGATCCATTTCAAAATATAATGATTAAGTTCAAGATCAGAGTCTCGAAATATCAAATGCTTTGTTCGCTTATTATTATTCATAATGAAATAATCTATTTTCTTCATCGAATATGTAAGAGTTGAGAATATTAGGATTTAAAGCATGAGCAATCCTTAAAAGTAGAATGAAAACTGTTTTTATCAATTTCTTTTTTGAGTTGATTGTGACAGGATCTACTTTCTAAATCATTATAATATCAAGTATATATTTCTTCTAGCCGACGTGTAAAAAGCCCTTACGCAACACCACTAGTCAATTTTCATTCGCTTATAAGTCACTGGTGGGAATCAAAAGTAATCAGCTAGAATCAGAAATTCATGCTCTTTCTAAATATATTTTTAGAATTCTTTTTTTTGACTTACATTTGGTGAGTCATAAGCAAAAATTTAAATAAATGAAAAACGTTCCTATCTGATTACTTTTGATTCTGTCGAGTGATTTCTAAGTGAGCGAAAATTAACAAGACATGTTGTGCCAAGACTTTTGCACACAGATTATTATTGCATGAAAAATTCGAAAAATGTAATAGTTAGTCTTTGTTTCCACTTTACAATACTTATTTCACATTGATCAACATACTTCTCTGAACCAAAATAAACAGTACACTAAATTCATCTATCTAATTAACTCTATTATTAGATTTCAATCTCCTACATCTACTAAAATTATTATGAAATAGCATTCAAAAGTATACTATTACATCAATTATGAATAATTAGTCACAAAATTAGAAGAGTTTATCTTATGCATTATCATATAACTGAAGCAGAAAACGGATTCTATACTCATTATTCTATCTGATTGCTTCAGATTATATAATTGGGTAATCAATGCGTACTAAAAATGACTTATTAACTATTGTAAGCTCATAATCAATGATTCAATAATGCATCATTGAATTTTATGTCAAGCAAAGTCTCTTATAAATAACTCTAATTATATAACAAACTGAATGAAAAGCTATTAGTACAATCCCTGTGAGGATTAAAATGTAAAAGATGATGTAGCTGTTATTGCTAATCACATGGGAATTGTTTTATTCTATTTATTTTGGAACACATCTTTTCAGCATCCTTTTACTTTATCCTTCAGAAACGCAATAAAGAAACAGTTTATATATTATGATAGACGTTATTGATATACGATCTGTGATCGTATACCAACAAGGGTGTTAGTGTCTTTGATCTACAACTTTTTTCAGCATTTATTTCACATTATTATTTGTCATTAAAGGGTAGCTATTGCTCCAGACCGACAACAACTTCATCCTGACACTTTTTGGTGTCCTCATCCTCACTCTGTGATATCCTCCGTTGTCAATCAAACGAATTAGTTAAGAGTATCATTCGCCGGAATAAGAACCAAAGTGTAGTGTACAAAGCAAACAATATATATATATATATATATATTACGATATTAACCTACGAAACAATATGTTTGATATGTCTGCAGATCAGCGACATCATGGCACGCACACTGTTTGATGTGCTCTGCCAATTAGACTGATTAGTGTATAGCATGTCATCGATCTGGAGAAGAACCATATTTTTAAATGGATATATATAGTTTTTCCACAGATACATGTACTCCCATTCACTAATTGCTTTGATCATACATTAATCTATTTGATTCATGAAAACAAGGTACTGAATATGAATCAGGAGTTATGTGGATCATGTAGAAGCATCTGAAGAAGAATTAATAAAAAGTCACTACTCGAAGAAAAAATTGGTGATTAAAAGTATTTCTTCTTTGTTAACAATGTCTGTGATGGTCTTTAACTGACGTCCGTCACGGCCTTTGGAGAGAGAAAGAGGTGCACAATATATACTTCAACACTCCTGTTAGATTGTGCTTCACAAAAAAATTGAGATGTATTACTAATTATAACTTAGAGTATGTGTTATTAATCTTACGTGTATCAATTTTAGTTGAAAAATTTGGTGTAAGTGTTGTTGATGATGAAACTGTTGTATTTAAATTAATTTTAGATTGATTAATATCATCCAACAGGAGTGAATCATGTTGTTGACGATTATCTAATAAATATTGATGTTGATTTAATGATGTTGTTGATGTTGATAAAACATCAGATTGATATTTATTTTTATTTTGATCATAATAATTAAAATTTCTTTTTATTTGTTGATTTTTGTCATAATCATAATCATCAACATCATCATCATCATCATCATCATCAAGATCACTAATCAATTCATTTGAATTATTTTTATATGTTGATTGTTGATATGATTGAAGAAATTCTTTAGTAAATGTTTTTGGTGATGTTTGTAATATAGATGAATCTTTTGTTTGATAATTCATATCATCTTGTTCCATAAGTCGTTTTTCTAATAATGTACGTAAAGTATTTAATTGATCTGTTACACGTATACCAACATTTTTTGGTGATGGAACTGTAAAAGAGGAAATAAAATGCAAAATTAAAAAAGAAAAACAAAACTAAAATTTTAGCATAAAAAAAGAAAAATAAATAAATTTAAAAAAGACGAAAAATATTATCATCATATGGTTGATATGATTTAATAACAGGTGTTAAATCAGTTCGTCTACGTCGAAAATTTATTGAATGATTATTTAATGGAATAATTCCATTTCTATTTGGATATTTGTCGAAGAGAATTGTCATAGGTAATAATGACTTACTAATTGATGTTGATGTTGATAATTTTTCATCATAAATATGTTTTATTTGATCAAGTGGTGTTTGCATAAAATTTTTTGATGTTTGATCAGAAAATTGTTCAAGTAATAATTGATCATCAGTTTGTTCTTGTTCATTTTTCATAATATGTATATTATTTATTGTTTGACAAGCTTCATTACGTGTTGTATATGTTTTTCTATTATGTTGAATATCATCAGAATCTGAACTATGATGAATATGATATGGAACTATTCGATGATGACGTTTTGATGGTGAATATCGAGGTTTTTCATTATTTGTTCTTGTTAAACTAGTTGATGATGATGATGATGATGATGATGATGATGATTTTCTATGACGATGTCGATGATGAGTTTTATTTGGTGATGAAAATGATTTTTTAGATGATGGTGATATAACATCAGATTTATGATAAGTATTTTTTGGTGTTGTTGTTGGTGATGTTCGTTGTGTTATTGTTGTTAAATTATTGGATTTAAGATCATCTATTTGAAAAAGAATAATGATTTTATTTTTTAATACAATTCTCATAGAAAACTGACTTTTCATGGATGATTTCCATCAAAGATACATTCAGTGTTTATGAATGATGAGCGGGATCAATCATTTTTGGTTTCGATCAAAAAAATTTTTGATTTTGGTTTCGCGCCTAGTAATACATGTACTAGAGAAAAATGCGATATGATTTTCTAGCACTGTCAATAGAGTCGAGACATCTTGCACAACCCACATGATCTCTAATGTTCTTTCTCTTAGAGACTCATTACTCTTTTTTTTATTCACTGATATTTCATTTATTCTGTACGTTTATGTATCCGATAACTCTTTTGTTTACGAAAAAATGGATTAATTTTACTCTCAATATGACATTTGACGAAAGTTTTACACGGCCATAAAAGATATTACTTCCAATAACAAATGTTGGTCCTGATCTAGGTTCCATCATGCTTATATTTAGTGTCTATACTATGTGTATCGAAAATTCCACTAGTGAATATTAACTCATTTTTGTGGAGTTGAACATATAACAATCTGAAACAATAAATTTTTATTCAACAAAGTTTTTTGGACGATCTGTTAAATTGAAGTATTTTTTCCAGAGTTCTAAAAGAAATTGAATCCATATAAACAGAAAGAAGAGAACATGAGCCTAAAACTTCTTAAGTCTGCACTCTCTACAATAAAGTCAATTTGTGTAAAAAAAAAATATGAAAATTGAGATAAATATATGGAAAAATAGTCCGAGAGCTGATCTTTCATAGATGACATGATTTTTGTATTTGGTACTTCATTTTTTTTTCCAAAAACTTCTGTCATTCTTAAGAGCCAATTGTCTATAATGTAATGCGCCTATCTTATTACAAACAAGAGACAACGTTCATTTAAACTCTTTATCATTTTTTCTATAACAAGTCATTTTTCTTTCTAAATATTACATTCGAAATAGTATCAAACACTACATAAAGTGGCAGATATTTCAAAGTTTCAGAAAAGATGTATTCGATTTTTGAGAGGTCACTTTCTGAAATATTTTCAATATCTGACACTGTTTCGACTATGATATTTCGAAAACAAAATGACTTGTTATAGAAAACATGATAAAGAGTTTAAATGAACATTGTCTATTGTTTGTAATAAAATAGTTACATTACATTATAGACAATTCGCTTTTTAAGAAGTTTTAATTAGCAAAATGTAGCTCGTATTCTTCTCTTTCCATTTAAGTGAGTTCAGTTTTGCTTAGAACAACTCAAGAAAAAATAATTCAGTTGAAAAGATCGTTCAAAAAATGTTGTTCAATAAAAATTGACTATTGCAGATTGTTATAAGTCGAATTACACTTTAAATTAATATTTAAGAGTGAAATTTTCTGCATATCTAATATAAACACTGACTGTATCTTTGATTTCAAATCACCCATCAAAAGTTAACTTTATACAAGAATTATATTAAAAATAAAATCGTTCAAAAACATACTTTGTCCAGTACTGTATTTACTTGAATATAATGGATCATCACGATTACTAAAAAATCCAGTTTGATCTCTATGTGTTGCTTGTCGATCAGAATAAAGACCTTGATCAGTATCTGTTGTTGTTATTGTTGTTGTTGTATATGTATCAGATTGTTTATTGAAATTTAAATTTTCAATAAAATCATTTTGTTTAGTAGATTTTTTATAAGGATGAGTTGCAGTTGCAAATTTAGTTATTCTTGTTCCAAGACTTTCTGTACATGTTGTACTACTATATTGATTATCATCTGACATTTGTATAGGAGCTATTGGTATTATACGTGTAGAAGTTGGTGGTTCAATTGATGAATCTGAAACACGTCGTAGTGGAAGATTTGAAGGTGCTGGAACTGTTTTCCATTGTTGTATAGTTTTATTTTCATTTATTTGAATTGGTAAAGATTTTTTAATATCAGTTTGTGGTAATGGAAAATAACTTGATGGACTTCCATCTTGATTATGAATTTTTTTTCTTTGTTGTTCATAACGTGTTAAATAAAAACTACTACTTTGATTTTGATTGTTAGTATTTGTATTAACGAGAAATTCACGTGTTGATGAGAGAACAGATTTTATTCGTAGATTATCATCATTACCACTTATCGGCATATCATCATCTACTATTTGCCAATCAATATTTGGTGATTTTGTTGTTCCTATCATTTTACGAGTATCAAAGTCTAGGAAAAAATAAAAACAAAAAAAAAAGATTGATAGGAATGTTTTTATGAAATGAGTTGAAGAATTAATGGTATGCTAAGGATTGTAACATATATTTTTTTTTCTCTTCAAAATCAACGTATGCTTGGCTATTTTATGAAATGCACTCTTCGCTAGTCAATGAAATGTTATTTATTAATTCAATTATAGAAATAATTTTCAATTAAGAGAATACAAACTGATTTTAGATACTAGCACTTATGAATATCAAACAAGTCATATTTTGTTGTGTCCTTATTATAGATTTTATAAAATGGACCCCGTCAGGTCGAAAATTTTTCAATTCAAACTCAGTGGACCAAACTTTTTCGAATTCAGTTTAACCGTACTTTAGTACTCTCAATGAAATTTTCTAATCGAAATTGAATAGCCGCCCCGAAGATACGAGATAGTTTTGTCTGTGTTTTTGTATTTGGTGACTAACACACTCTAAACATATCTCAGACAATTAGAGTCCATCGAGTTCAAGATTTTCGAACCTGGATCCGGTGGACTCTAATACTAAAATGAGACTTTCGCAGTTTATTATAATGGACTGCCAATCGATAATAATATTTTTCTTTCTTTTTCATACTAAAAAGATAAATTATTCGTCATTAAGAATTACGAATAGATCTCTAAACTGTAATGTACAAGTCTTTCTTGATTAATGAATATTTAATTTAAATGATTTGCTCAGTTGCATATGAATGAGCATATTTTTAAACAATAAGATTATTCGTCATTGTTAAAATAACAACAAACTTCACTCATATTGTGATATACTGTAATTAACAAAAATTATTGATCTAGAAACGTATCAACAAAAACCTCTGTTTATGATAGATACATTTTTATTCTAGGAAAAGATTTTATTAAATTAATTCAAACCTGTTTGATTTGTTGTCATATAAGTTTGATGATCAACTGATGAAATAAGTCGATGAACTGGTGTTGATGCTGTTGCTGGTTCAAAAATTCTTTGTGATTCTTCTCTACCTATGAATTTTTCTGAATATTCTTCTTGATCATTATGAAAATAATTTCTTTGTATATTTGTTATTGGCATTGATCGATGCCGATGTCTAATACTAATATCACGAATACGTGATGCATATTGAAGAGTATTTAATGAACATTGACAACAATCATCAGATGGTGAAACATTAGCCATTAAACATGTACGAGTTTTTGTACCAACAAGTGAATCACGTAATATATGTGTTAATTTACTTTGTCGAAATGGTGCATGAAAATGTGTCATATCCATTGAACGAATACATTCTTTTAATGCTAATAATGATGAATTGATTTGTGCACCTTCACGACGTGTTTGTCGTTGATTATTTTGTGCATCTATTGCACGTTCACTACCAGCTAAATCAATAAAAACAAGTTTAAAATTTTCTGCTTGATTATAATTATTTTTTAATATTAGTTGAAAAATAGCATGTGAACGTGATGAATTTGTATTAAATGCACTTTTTCCATGATGTCGTCTTGTAAGACCATCATTTATCATAGAACGTAAAGTATCTAAATTTTTTAAAACAATTTCTGTTATACCAACTATATTAACAGAATGTTCACCATCTTCACGTGCAAATAATCTAAAGAATTAATGTTAAATTGTTTTTTTTTTTTTTTTTTTATATATTTATATAACCTTTTTCCAGTATGACATAAATCATAAAGTTGATTATTATAGATTTCATAAAATGAACAAATAAGTTTATTTTTTAAATTAATTTCTTGTAAAAGTAATTGTGCACAATAAATAAGTAGACCATCAGTATTTTTACTACCAAATATTGTATGACTTTTACCTGGAAAAAAATTTTTTTTTAAATAAAAATTATTTAAAAGAAATAAACAAACCAGATCCTGTTTGACCAAAACAAATATATGTTAAATTCTGACGATGATTTGTTGATATGAATGGTAAAACTGTACATTCAAATACTTGTTTATTTGATGTATCAGAACCAAAAACTTGATCGAATTGAAATTCACTCTATTTGAAAATATAAAAATTTGATTTTTGTATTCTTCTAGAATTTGTTTTTTTTTTTTATAACAAATACCTTTTTAAGTAATGGTGTACAATCAAGATTAGCTTTATTTTCTGTAATAATTATACGTTTAGTATCTGGTACTGATATTATATCATGAAAATTAATTTCATTTGATAATAATGGTCGTTTACGAGCAAATACATAAATTTCAGCTGGTTTAGCATAAGATATTATATCTGTTGTACTATGTGATGATGGAACAAATATTGAAGTCTGATTTAAATTTTTCTCATGTTGATAATGAACATGATGAGAAGTATTTTGTTGACGTTTATTTGTTGGTATACCATAATTATAGGATTTTATCTATTTAGATATATAGAAAAATAAATAATGCGAAGAAATGATTTCATTATTTTTAAATTTCATTATCGATGTAAGATGCTAATACTTATTACTTCGAAAACTTTCAGGAATAATCAATTCAATCTTTATTACTCATCAAATTGTAACTCTGTTGTATTCGATTGAGTGAGATTTTTAAACACATTAATTATTAATATGGTAGTTGATCTAAGGTTTTTTATTAGTCTATAGTTAGCTGATGTCGAGAATTCAAGGTAATATCTTTGAGATAATATATTGAATGTCATAATCATTTCATCATGAACTCGTTCGAAAAAGAAAGCTCAGTCTCTGACTGAGAAATCTATTTTTGTTTTAGAACAAAAGATATGACTGAAATTTTCAGAGAATATGTGTCCGAATGTGTATAGTGCATAGTAAAAGATTCAATTCAATATATTGAACTTTTCAAAAGTTATTATTGTGCCAACGGTCAAAAAGTAGGTTTCCATCTTTTAAGAATTTCTCCCTAAAATTTAATGAAAAAAATTTCGAGTTCATATCAAAACGTAGCTAAGAGACATGCCGCTACACCTTAATAAGCTTCAGTTTTCAAAGCTTGGATGTAAGTTTTTTTCAAGAAATCAAACATAAAAAATCTAGCTCTAATTAATTGTGAAGAACAATATTCTCTGACTTGTAAAATGTTCGATAAACCTTTAGAACAAGAACAGTAAAAAAAACTGAAAATCCCATTTCGGCAAAAATCGGCAAAATAAATTTTTGATTTTGTCAATCAAGTTTATTCTCCATAGTTCAAATCTATATTGCAGCTAAAAAAGACTTTGACGACTGAGATTTCTAAAAACTGCTTCCGATTATACGTGTTTCATCTGAACAAAAATTAGCAGTTCTGAGTAGGATGTGGTTCCAGAATCTATACCAATGAAGAAGGTACCTCAGCTTTTCCGAGCATTTCATTTCATCTTTTTTTGTTTTCAGTGACATTCAAATCCGCAGATCCTTTCTCTGAAGATATCTTAACCTGAAACGTTTTCTTTTATCTATTAGAATTAATAAGAGTGATATAATATGTAAGTCAAGCTATACATGTAAAAAAAAATTACAAAACTATATAATGATAGTGGCACTCTGTATAACAATAATGATACGATATCATGTTTCAATACTACAAACGATAAATAAAACCAAGAATTGAACATCTGTCTTTATTGCATAGAAATGATCCGAATGAAAAACAAACTTCAACAATATGGTGTAAAAATTCCCAGGATAAGTATTCATATATTCATTCGTTAATCAACTGCATTGAGTACATGAAAGAGAGATGCGACTATTTAAGAATATACGAAAGACAATTATTTAATAATAATATTATTTCGATTGAACATTTGAATATTAAGTTAATCAAACACAATCCTATCGTACAAACATAATGATACAAGGTCTATTTTTTTTTTGATGGATTTGACCATATGTCGAGAAGAATGAGTCATGATCACGAATGCTTTTAAGACTTTTTTTTAGTCTCATTGAAATCTACTTATAACTAAAAGATGAAGTTAACAGCTTAGAAACAGATTGAGTACAATCCTCTTAAGATCCCAAAAAAAAAAATAGTAAGCTGCTGAAATATACTTTACAAACATTTTTTCATACTATAAGTTTTTGATTGTCACGCAATCCTTTAGTTTAGTTTCTATTTTCAACTAGAACATATAAAATATCTTTTGAAGTCCACCGTAAATATTTCACCCGTGATTTCCTATGAATCTAAAAGGGATAACTGAATCCTGTAAGCAAACTTCCTTCCTCTTTAAAGGTTAATATTGTTTAATTAGCTTCATTATATGAATTATTCTTCATTTAAAGAAAACCAACTCAAGGATAAATTATTAAAAAAAAAGTCTTTTTGATTAGAAAATATTTATTTCTTACTTTAACATGTTGAATAGGTGCTCGATTTAAAAATGATTTTGGTCCAGACAAATTTTGATCATTAAATTTTTGTTGTTGAATATGACTTGATGATGGTCTTTGTAAAATAAATTCATCAAGATGATTTTTATTTCCTAGTGATGTTGATGATAAACGTTCAGTTATTTTAGTTGAACTTGAAGATCTTTTTGATTTTAAATTTTTATTTAATTGTTTTATTGAATGTAAATTATTTGTTTTATTTGATTGAAAATTTCGATGTTGAATAGATTCAGTACTTTTTGCTCGAATTGGATTAGTTTTTATTGTTGATTGTTTATGAGTTTTTGAATAATGTGGACAAATTTTTCCTTCACGTGTTGCTTCTTTAAGTACATCAAGTAATGCATGAAAACGATGTAATTCTTGTTTAGATAAATTTAATTGTTTAAAATGTTCATTATGAAAATGTGCTAATGCACCAGCTGAATCATAACCAAGTCTACGAAATAATTCTATATGATTTTGAAGATCAACGGCTTTAAGAGCCTTGAGAAGACATTTTGTCATTATTGAAAAGATTTATTGATTAATGTAGATGTAAGTGAAGAAGATTTTCTATTGATTCATTGAAATAAAATAAATAAATAAAAGATTTGATTTAAACGTAATGAATTGTTTATGAATGAAGAAATAAAATCAATCTATATTGTATATCGGATTTTTTTTTTACTTTTTTTTTTTCTCAAATCAATTCACTAATTTAATAGATTTAGTGCCATTAATACTGTCAATTGGACAATCGTAGCTAAGTGATATAACAATAAAAATATTTGAATTCTATACATTAAAAACAAATTGGTTTTTTCTTAATCTTTTTTATTTTATTTTAACAAATTGAGAAATTAAAAATAAATTTAATATAAAAATAAATCTACTCTAAAACAATTAACGCCATCTAGATTTAAAAGACATACAGCAATATATATATATATATATATACCGGTATGTCTATACATCAAACTCAATATTGTTTATTATAAAACACTTTCTACTTTGCTTAAAACTAAGAGAATATGGCATTAGATTATTAATGGCTTCTTTCTATATAATCAAAATTTTAATCATGTTTATCAATTCAAAGGAAATAAAGGCATGAGAAATTATGTAATAAATTGGAAAATTTTTATTTTTCCATCTCAGATTTGCATAATTAATTCTGTTCTACTAGTAGTCGAATCATTTCAATTAGTTTTTTTTTTCTTAATAAAATACTAAAGATATCAAGGGGCATCATAAATCAAGTTCGAAACAAAAGTTTTTCTTTCTTTTTTTCGTTAATACTAATGTTTATTTATGGGTTATGCGGAGAGATTTAAAGGACGAATTGACCAAATAAATATATTCCGTGCAAGTACTCAGATACTTACCAAGTATCACAAGTACCATCGACATTACGAAGTACATACATAAGTGTCATAAGTGCCTATTGAGTCTTTACAAAAAGTACTTGGAAGTGGCGTATCAGTAGCATATAGTATTTTCTATTGATTCAATAAGTATTCATATTAATATATTCCTTAAGATGAAGAGAAGCTTCCTTATCCGACTAAAAAATTTAAGATTTTTCATATCTATTATAATAATAAAAGTCGAACAATCGGAAACGATAGAATATTTTTGCTGAGAAAACAACAATCTAAATTGACAAACTATTTCACTATTTTTGAATAATGAGTTCTTTGAGAAAGAAAAAGTAAAGAATCATCGTCCAATTTCTGAATCACAGTACATTCGATTAAGCTTAAGCTTTCTTCCACTTATATAAAATGCTTACTTTATTTTTGGTTTAAAATATAATCTACCCTTAGTTTTTGCTAGAGTCTACAAAAAAAACACATGCGTTCTTTAGAGTACGGTTAGTATTTTAATCTTTTCATTTGAATGGAAAAAGATAAAAATAAACCGAAAAAAAGTTAGGTATCACAAATAGTGTCTATTATCTGTAAAAACAAAAATTTCAACTCGACCAAACCTATTGCAGCTGAGAAAGTACAGTGATTAAGAGGGATAATGAGTTTTTAATTTTTGCAACGCCAATATTTTCTACCAGGAAGTATTTAGAAATTTTGAGCCTATGACAAACTTTTGCTCTACTCATCGAGGTCTATCCAGTCTGAAAGTTTCAAGCTTTTCTGATAAATTGTTTTCTAATAGTGCCGGAAATGACAAGTACTCTTAAGTCCGATCTCCTGTAATATATATATATCGATTTTTTTTTGTCTTAAAAATAAAACTAAATTCTTCAGTTAATATTTTAATTTACATATTTTTCTGTGAATTACTTTATTTAGGTAAACTAGAATGAAGATAAATTTCATTGACATGAATTTTATAAACTACACTTATTACAAATCACATTTACTATATGTGCAAACAAAACACAAAAAAAAAAAAACTTAATCCATTAATCATCGGGATAAATCATTGAGAATAAACAAATAAGTCACATTATAATACAAGAAAATTATTTCTAAAAATCATATAATCACGAACAGAAAAAAAAAATATATAAACATCACACGTCAAAATATCTTCAAAGTCTTGTCTTTCTTTTGCTTATATATATATATATATATATATATATGTACGGACAAATAACGAAAAAAATAAAATATTCTTTTTTGTATTTATATTCTTATTTTTCGTTGTATTCAAACAAAAAGAAAACAAAATAATTTTTTTTAATGTAAGAGAGAAGCTCTTTCAACATCACTTTCATATCTTCCATGATCATTTCTATCATCATCTAATTGATATATTCTATTTGTTAATATATATGGTGATGCTGCTGTTGATAAACTTTGATAACGCATTGTTGGAGAAATTCTTTTCGAACCACGAAATGCTTTAAAATAAGCATTACGTACTAATTTTTTTGTAACAGCATGTGTTATTTCACGATAATCAGAATAATCAGGTTCATTAAATGTTGTTTCCCATTCATTATGTTCAGGTCCACGATCTTTATCATTATTTATACCTAAATGATTTTTATCATGCATTGATTGATATGCTTGTGCTCTTTGTCTTGCTTGATATTGTCGTTCAGTATCTTCTAATTGTCGTTGATAAAAATAGGTAAAATTTGATACGATTATTGGTACAGGTAATGCTATTGTTAATACACCAGTTAATGCACATATTGCACCAATAACTTTACCTAGATTTGTTCGTGGTACATAATCACCATAACCAACAGTTGTCATTGTTATAATAGCAAACCAAAATGAATGAGGAATAGATGCAAATTGATTTGGACTTGGTGTTGTTGTTGATGTTGCTTGATTTGAATCAATAATTGGAAGACTATCTGATGATGATGATGATGATGGTAAATATGATAGTGTTGTTGCTGATGTTGTTAATGTATAACTTAATGATGATTTTGTAGGTGATATATTTATATAATCACCTTCAACAAAATACATAAATGATGAAAAAACGATAACAATAATAAAAAGAAAAAACATTAATAAAAGTAATTCTTTCCATGATGCCAAAAAGGTCAAAGCAAGTACTTGTAAGCCCTAAGAAAAAAAAACAAAAGAGAAACAAATCATAATTATGTACTTTATTATCAATTAAGTCAAATAACCATAACATACAGCTGCAACATAATAGGATTTACTTTCGTTAAATACAAAATGATTAAGTCCTCACAAGAGATTATCCGAGATTACCAAGCTTGAAGAGGAAGATAAATTTTATTGCAAGAATTGACGAAAAAAAAGTCGTTCCGGTTCGTTGGACAAAAAAACAAAAATTTTTTCAAGATTGGAAAAGTCACCTTTGATTCTCACAATATATTTTATATTTTATATTTTCCTACCTTAAAATGTCTTGATAATTTAAATATTCTAAATACACGTACAAGTCGTACAATCCTTAATACAGTTAATGTTGATGAAAATCCTGATACACTACTATCTTTTGTTTGATAAATTAAACCAATTAATTGTAAAAAATATGGTATTATTGAAACAACATCAATTATATTTGGTCCATTTTTTATAAAAGCAAATTTGGACGGTGCTACCGCAAATCGAAATAAAAGTTCTAAACAAAACCATGTTACACATATTGTTTCAATAATAAAAAAAAACCAAAAATATTTTGTTTCACCACCAGGATGAATATCACGTTCTTTTGTTACATTATTAAAATATGATATTGGTGGTGCTATCATTTCATTACGTATGGAAGGTAGTGTTTCTACAATAAATGATGCTATGGATACAGTAATCATAACAATTGATATAATCGCTACAACTCTTGCTAAATTTGATGATTCTGGACATTCAAAAACTTCCCATATAGCACGTTGAATATGATTAACTGGTTTTTCAATAGGAATTTCTTCAACATAACCTTCTTGTTTACGATAACGTTTAAGAACTTCATCGCCTGGAAAATGAAATGAAGAAGAAGAAGAAGATTTTTTAATGAATCATATAAAAAAATTATAGAGATTCTTAAATATCCGCTCTTCATATTTACGAAAGTTTATTAGATTATTTGATGTCCGGCTGTGTTTGAGATTAAATTGACCAATTGATAGCGAAAAAAAAAATAATAGTAACTGATTATTACGGGAAGAGAAATAGAAATTCAATACAACTATATTTCCCAATATAATTATTCGAATTATAGATTAAACTTATCAAGCGTGAAACAATTGCATACATATAGTATATTTAATTATATAATTTATATCTATTTCATAGTCTTTTTTTCTATTCGAGTTTTTCTACATATATATTATACGTTGAAAATAATGTCAATTGAGTGTATGACTCAAAATAGAATTTCATTTCATGAGTTAAACTTTATTTTATTTTCTTTTTTCTTTTTAATTGCCCTACTATTCTAGATTCATAGTTTTTCTTTATTAATATTTGAACTAAAAGGTCATTTTTTTTTAATAACAATTCTATTAACATTCTAATAATAAAATTTGCAAATAAGAGTACTACAAAGCATTTAGAATCGAATTACTTTCATTTTATATAATACATGTTTACAAGACAACAGAATCTATTATCTTTTTATTAAGCTATTCAAGTAAATATAATAGAAATAAATTCTTCTCATATAACACTAATATGCAAAAAATCTGTTAACATACCAAGATCAAAGAATTTAATTTCTTCTAAGAAAATTTCTGCAGAAATATTTTCTGGTCGTGTTAAACGTCCACCACTTTGATAAAAATAAAGAACAGCTTCAAATGATGAACGATGTCGTTCAAAAAAATATTCATTATTCATATAATCAAAAAAATGTGCACGTCGTTGTTTATCACCAAGTAAAGTATTTGGATAACGTTGTAAAGTTGATGCACGTGTTTCAAAACGTAAACCACTAACATTTATAATAACTTTATCAAATGGTTCATTTTCTGGTGGTGAATATTTATTATTCATATATTCTGGATGTATTGATTGTATTCGTTGATTTTTATATTCTTCTTGATATTGTGATTTAATATTATTATTATTATTATTATT